GTGACACATATGCTGAAATATTAGAAGGGAAGTACACTGATGTCTGCAACTTCAAAATATATCAAAATTAATATGGATTACTGGCTGAATAGAGGAATGAATAGATATTAATAAAGCAAATATAGTAAAATGTTAACTGTAAAATCTAGATAATGAGTATATGAGTATTCACTATAAAATTCTTCTAACTTTTCTGTATGTTTGAGAATTTTTATAATAAAATGTTAGGAAAAAAAAATTTCTGCCCTGCTCTCATGGAACTTATGTTATAGTGGAGGGAAACAGATAATAAATAAAATTAATAAGTAAATTATAGAGTAAAATAGGAGGTGAGAAGATATGGGAGACACAGAAGAGAAGGGGTTTAGTGCATTGAAAGTGGAACTCACAATTTTAAATATTATGGCCAGGGAAGCATTTCCTGTAGGATATGGGGGAAAGAATAGTGGGCAAATCTGAGGGAAGAGCAATCAAATGGGGAAAAGAGTAATGAAAAAGCGAGATTGGTGAGAGAAGGGCTTAATCTGATTAATTTTAAAAGAATTCCTCTCTGCTAATTGTGTTAGGAACACATAGAAGCTCTTTGAGGCCTCGTTTATTCTTAAATTTAGAAAATGTCTCCCCTGTCTATGGTATCAAAAAATATTTGTTTGATAAATCATAAACATAAAATGGAACTCTTTTAGTGAAACATGGATAATTTAAGTACTTTTCCCTTTCAAGCCAATATTACTTCACTGAAATTTTAAATGTTAAGTTTTAAAGCATTTTAAATGCCTCTGCCTTCTATTTAGAAGATAATGTAACCCCTGATTTATGCCAGACAGAAATCAAAGGTTTGGATTATAATTCAATGGAATAGAGGTTTTTATTTCTAATTTTACTAGGAGAATCATGGTTATTTATGATCCTCTTCCCCCTGCATCCAGTTTCCCCATCCTTCAATATACCCACCTTTTCCCTCTTTCCCAGTTTTTAGCAACTTACTTAAGGGAAAAAAAGATAGAGATTCCCCATGAGCTAGCGCTTGCAAAGACCCTGCCCCACACAGTGCCTGCTCCTTGCTATCTGTCTGTGAGTCATAATTCAAGGTTAATTAACACTGACCAGTTCCTCATCTACAGTCTGTAGATACTAACTATGTCCATCTCTCCTCTTAAGACCCAAGCACTTGCCTTTGAATGTGCCAGATCTTTCAACTGCCTTTGGAAAGCCTGACTTGATGAGATTATAGATCCTTTGTTTTTCCCATTCCATATTCTGAAGCAGCCTTGCTTCTTAACTTTTGTAGCTCACTCACCCACCAGCAACCTCCTGCCCCATTTACTTATAGTGTTGCCCTATTAAACATCTTTACTCACTCCAACCCTGTACCTGGAAACATGGCATGCATCCTGAATTACCTTCCACCTCAGGTGACTTTTCTGGCCCCTCAGGATACCTACATTAGAGGGATGAAAATTACTTAAAAGTCCCCTCATTAAACCTAGTATGCTGTGGCTGGTCTATGAGTCTCAAGGTCCCAGCAAGTCAAGAGCCTTTATGTGATTTGGAGCCCTGTGGCCTGCAGAGGCTCCCAAATTTCCAGTAGCAGATTTGCGGATTGAGCTGCCCAGGGATTTTCTCTGCACCAAGAAGCAAAACAAATATTTAGCAAGTGCAAGTGACTTTCAGCCATTATTTTCTCAATGCTGCAGTTGGCAAATAACCTAGACAGAAAGAAACACGTAAAGAGATATTTTATGAAGAAATAGAAATGAGAGTTTCAAGTGTTACTTTGGAGTTTTTTGAAGCTTCATCAAGTGAAAAATAATTAAATTTACCTTAATTTAAAACCTCAGTAATCTCCATTAATAAATACTAGCATAAAGAAAATATTTTTTAACATAAAGTTCAAAAGAAAGCAAATATCCTTTATGACATATTGCTTTAATTATAGAAAAATAATATCAGTGCTCTTAGCAAGATCTATCAATTCTTTACCCACTGGATTCAACTAACACCATTTTGGAGGTTGTTAAATATTGAACAATTAAATGAAGAAAATCCATCTTGAATCGTGTAGACAAAGGAAATATACAAATATAAATACCAGAGAATACGTTTGAACTCATAGTAACTAGGGTCATTATAGAAATTCTCCTTGTTGCAAGCAGAGATATTAATAAGTATTATGTCTTCTTGGTGCATGATTCCCTTTATCATTATGAAGTGTCCCTCAGTATCTTTCTTAACCTTTTTTATTTTGAAGTCTATTTCTTCCTATATTAGTACTGCTACTCCTGCTTGGTATTTCCATTGTTTCCTTGTTCTTGTGTGTCTGTTTTTTGGTTTTTTTTTTTGTTTTTTGGTTGGATTTGTGGATTTTCCCTCTGGTCTTTCTTTCTTTATGCTATATACTTCAGTTCTGAATCTTTGGCATGTGGCTATCATTACAAATATGTGAAGGATAGTTACATGTATATAGTAGACCATTTTCTTCTGCATGTGCCTTATCTCCATCTCCCTTTGTGAATTTGGATCTTTAAATCCTCCCCTTCTCAGTTATTGTTGTCTAAGTTAGTCCCAATGTTTGTTGAATGTTCATTACTATCTCACTATAGCAAATCTCTTCTTATTGTTTAAAATTTAATGCCCTATTCTTAATAAGTTTGCACTCCTCTGCTTCTATCTTCCTGCTAGTTACCTTTCTCATAGTTATATATTTTTTTGTCATTTTGTTTTAGGTGAGCTGAACCTTTTCAGTATTTCCTGTAATGCAGGCCTTGTATTGAAGAAGTCTCTCAATTTTTGTATGTCTGGATGGGTCTTTATTTCTCCTTCATATCTAAAAGAGAGCTTACCTGGATACATTATTCTTGGCTAGTAGTTTACTCTTTCTGGCTTGTAAAGTTTGTGCTGAAGAGTCCAACGATAATCTAATGGATTTTCTTTTATAGGTTACCATTTTCTTCTCCCTGGCTGCCCTGAGAATTCTGTCTTTGTCGTTGATTTTTGATAATTTTAATACAATGTGTTTTGAAGAAAGTCTTATTGGGTTGAGATAATTGGGTATTCTGTTGACTTCTTGAATTTCAAGCTCCAGCTCATTCCTTAGATTTGAGAAATTCTCATCCACTATTTGTCTGAAAGTGCTTTCTAGTCCCTGCTCCTTTTCCTCGCCTTCAACAATGCCCATTATTCTTTTGTTTCCTCTCCTGATAGTATCATCTAGTTGTATTTCTCTTTCATTATGTTTTTATTCTTTGGTTTCTCTCTTCTTTCTTATGATTTATTTCTAGATTTCTGTCTTCGATATCACTGATGCTTTCCTCCATTTGGTTAAATCTATTTCCCAAGCTTGCTATTTCATTTTTCATCTCTTTCAGCATGTTCTTCATCTCCAGAATTTCCATTTGGTTCTTTTTTAGGGTTTCAATCTCCTAGCTAAAAAACTCATTCTGCTGATCTAGCTGTTTTTCAATTCTTGAAATTGTTGATATGAATTGTTTTGGATCTCACTGAATTTTTTTCAGAAGTACCATCCTGAATTCTCTGTCATTTAAGTCGCATATTTTTATGTCTTTAAGTTTAGTTTCTGGAAATTTTTCTCTTTCTGAGCTGCCTTGTTCCTTTGGTTGTTCATGGTGTTTAATGGACTATTTCTCCACATGGGTATTAATAGAACTGTATTCTGCTTTTTTTTTTTTTCCAGAAGGAAAGTTTATTATATAAAGGTCTCTCTTTAGTCTGTTGCAGAGAAGGCATTTTTCTTTTGGTTTCAAGTAGGTGGCATCTAAGCTTCTTCGATTCTTGCTTTAAACAAAGTCTTAATACTGCTTTTTTTTTTTAGTAGATATTCAATCCCACTCACTACCCTCCGTCTCAATCTCTGTCAGTGTTAGTGACAGTTTCGGTAGCCTTTGCTCAAATTTCTCTGGGGATCCACGGTGTTCGGTCTGGGAAGATATGGTGGGAGTGGTCCTGTGAGTTGGGGGATGGGGGATGTGGCTCAACCTCCACTTTGAAACTGCGGCTGGTAATTAATCAACTGTTACTTCTCTGCCATCCCCTCTTTTCTGCATTCTTCCCTGATATCTGGGCACTGCCTCTGCATGGGGCTCACAAATCTCTCAAGCATGGCTGTTCAGGGAACCCACTGCATCTTCACCTATCCCCTTTGTCCTGCAGGGAGCTCTGGCTGTGATAGGCAGCTTCTTTGTTTCTCCCAGTCTACTGCCTCGACTCCTGGGGGTTCTGACTTGTGGTTTCTCTTATGCTCAGATCGCACGCTCAGATGTGCTGTTGTACAGGTTAGGTGTTTTTTGTTGAGTTTTAGATTTTCAGGTCATTGTTGTTTCAGGGAGAGATCTAGGGACATCTCTTACTTTGCCATGTTTCTGACGTTGAGATTTTTTAAACAAATTTTTAGGCCACACACTCCCCCATTTTTGATTCAATAGTCTGGGGTGGGGCCAGATAATTTGCATTTCTAACAATTTATAAGTGATCTGGATGCTGCTGGAAAAACTTCCAAAACCCACTGATCTATGCAATCTATACTATATATTTGTCTAATTCTTTTTTCTCACTTTTCTGTTGTCGTTCAATGAAAAAAAAAAAAGCCAAATTCTCATTTCAGCGCTACTGCCCTGCCTTCCGTCAGTTTCATTTTTGAAAGAAAAAAAAATTAAAACTTTAAAAGCAGGAACAAAGTGATGTTAGGAGTAACCAAGCTGGGTTTCTAGCCTCCTAATCCTTTTTAAGTGGAATGAAGGTTTCTTCTTAGTTAATAAGGTGTTAGTGTCTCTTTAAAAAAAAAAGAGCCCAACTGAAATTATACAAATGTGATACAACTGTGTAGCACTAAAAAGTGGTTCTTGTTTAACTATAAAACATACATTAAAAAAATACATGTCTCCATCAAAGTCTCTTAATACTAGAGAAGGGGGTAGTGGTCAAAAAATGACAGAAAAAATAACATTCACTTTCCACACAGATTTTTATTTTTCCATTTATTATTTTGTTTCTAAGTCGAAGAAACAGCTCATCTAGAGTCTAAAGAATCTAAAGATAGATTGTGATGGTTAAATTGGGATCTTTACAAGTAAATTATTTTTCTTCTTTTGCGTAATGTGTTAACAAAGAGAAGAGACACAGCATGGTATCTTAATTAGGGCATAATCTGTGTGTGTAGAGTTGACAGTGAAAGTCATATGAGGCTCTAAATGAGCTTCTCACTTGCTCTACACTTGAGCAATTCCAAACAGGTTAGGGCCACGTTGACTAAAACATTTGTAAGAACAAATTAATATTCGAAGAGGTACCAGCTGTAGATTTCTGCTTATCTTCCAGTTCTAAAAAGTAAAAATTAAAAATAAAATTAGGCAGTGTTCAGTAAATATTTTTGAATAAAATAAATATTAGTTGTGATTGCTAAAGAATATGCTATTCCATTTATGCTTGATTTGCTGTTTCTAACACACAAATAAACCTAACTAGATAAGAAAGGCATATTCAACACTAAATAAAATTCACATGATAAAAGATTATCTATGCTTTTATCCAAACATATTAATATACTGTCTAGTTATAAAGTTTGAGATGAAGGTAAATTACAGTATAGAATCCACACAAATCTGACTTCTGTCCTATAGGGATGTTAAATGGATCAATCAACAGACATTTATTGAACATCCCAATAGACATCTTGGTTTTGCCTGTGCAACATCCGTTTCTCATGAAAATCAATCTTCCTAATACTCTTTGTTCACTGTTTGCAATTTTCATTAAAATCGTCACTGGCTGGGTTTCAGGCAAATTGTTCAATATGTGGCTTGTTTTTGTCCTTCAAATATCTCTGACCTTACTTCTCAATGCACAATATAAGTAAATGAAAACTCTATAATCCAACTTAGTGTACATGTCCTGACCACTAATATTGGAAATAATGGCAGCCACAAAAACTTACAATTTTTATGCTTTACAAACAACTTCTGAATTCAACATAGCTCTCAGAGAGAGAATCCAAACAGTCACACAACTACTAGTTTAATTGGTTGATAATGCTACTTAGTTTTATCATCACAATCCACTGTGAGAAATTTCATTACTGTTCTGTTCACTCTTCCACAAAAGAACTTCGAGGACCCATTTAAAGGTTCAAACATCTAAGCACAGTTATTAATCCATTTTGGAGAGAGTAACAGCCTTTCAGCCCTGGTGATAAATCAGTTAAGAGCTAAAGTCATACATCAATCGTATCACCTTTGCATCCATCTCCAGCAGTGACCATGAAGTGTTCAAAGAATACATGGCACTATTCTAATGATAAAATATTTTAGATAAAGTCGAAAAATGGTACAGAATCAATACAAATCTGACTTCTTTCCTAGAAGGAAGTTTAGTTTATCAATTAGCATTTACTGAAATTCCCAAGAGCATATTACTTTTTCCTGTGTCAGAATCTATTTCCCACTCTGCTGGAACAAAAGCCTACCTTTCCTTTGGAAAACCACCCCTTTTCCAATTTTAGTGCACATATTATAGGAGGGAGAAGACAACGGATCCACCTTCCTGGTTCAAGAAATAGCCACATAATTCAGGCCGGCACATGACCCAAAACAGTCCAACAAAGCCAAAGAGCATCAGCAGTAAGGCTTTCTCTGGATCTATTAAGAGAGGGAAGCTCGCCCTCTATTGCCAGAGGGAATAATTTCGGGATCCTCTACCTGAAAGCAAAACCAAAAAAATAATAAAATAAAAGCTAAGACAATATGTAGAGAAGGACAAAAATCTGGTAATAAATTTGGGTACCTGATCCCCAGCATAACTAAATACTCATCCAGATCCATGCCTTGGCCTTCTTCATTACTTGAATTAGTGTGTGAGTTGGGTTTCTTAAATTGCAACCAAGAATTCTGACAAAATAAAAACAACCTAAATCCTGCACTACAGAAATTGGCAAAGTCCAAAATAAGGACATATAAAAAACAATCCCTGACTCTAAGTTTCTTTTTAGCACCTACTTAGAAAGATAAGAGATAAATACACACACATACACACACACACACACACACACACACACACACACACAAATAACTAGAAACATAGGCTCAACCCAATGATAGGTTTTATGTGAGTGTTGAGAAGGGAGACACCATCATAGGATGCATATTTAGTGAGATTTCACATTGTAAGAAAATGGTGAGCCGGGTTTTGTAGGAAGACTAGAATGTGACTTCTTGAAGAGAACATGAAAAGACATTTAGAAAGGGTGAACTATGAGAGCAAACAATTAGAATGTACATATTGTATTAAAGAAACAATACGGCATAAATAATAAATAAACCATAAAATGTTGAATCTTGGGATATCAATAACAAATACATTAGTGCAGGGGTAAAAAATTCATAAGTAGTTTTCCAATGATAGACATATCATATATAGTATTTTCTTAATTTTATTTTATTATTAGTTTCAAGTCTTATTAGTTTGTCTTATTGCTGTGGCTGAGACTATGTTATATGTAGTATTTTAAATCTACTTTATAAAAGATCATATTGATTAATTAGATTATATTTAACTGTTGAAGAAGTTTATTCATATGCTTTTTAAAGGATGATGTTGAATATTAAATTCCTATGTCATTATTTATTTTTTAACATTTTTTTTTATTCCCATCCACCTACCCCTCTCCCTTTTGGCAACCATCAGCTTGTTTTCTATATCCATAGATTTGTTTCAATTTTGTTTCATTTATTCAATTGTTTTGGGTTTTTTTAGATTCCATATATAAATGAAATCATATGATATTCATCTGTGTCTGACTTAATTCACTTAACAGAATACCCTCTAGGTCCATCCATATTGTCT